GAGGCAAGTAGTGGGGGGAAAAAAGCCCAGGGTGGTCAAGCTAAGACCTGGCACGAGGGTATGAAAATCCTAACCAGGAAACCGGGTCACATAGGTCCCGTTAGGCTCTCTGGCTGGGGACCGCGGGATGATCGTAACCGATGGTTAGAGACACTGAGTGATATGGCCGGGTGCCGCAACCAGTGGCGTTCTTGCATCTCCTCAATCTGTCTGCAACCTTGGACCACTGAACTTCTCCATTTTCTGTTTGACTGCACTTTCAACTTTCCCTTCTTCTCCTATTCTTCAGCCAGATGGGCAGCCAAAACCGGTGCACGAATATGCGTGGTTAATGGTTTTACAAAGTGAAACTAATACCGTATGCACGTCAAGTGCAGCATTGCTGCGTGGATGCAAGACCTGACTAGTTCCCGTTCAAGATGTCCATTTGTTACCCGTATGTCAAACCGCTACACCCACACAATCGTCCGCGTTTCGTGGGAATATCATGTGAGCACAGATGAAAGAAAGCACATAGAATTCAGAAGAGCTGCATAAATAAGCTAACACGAACTCTGTTGCATGTTGACTGGACCCGGCTTCCAGGTCGGAGTCCAAATGGTCTTGTTGAACACCCGAAATGATGCGGTTCGCCACGGGGGGACAGTGTCACCGTCACACATAATTTTGTTGTTTATCTACTGTCAGATAAAAAATTACTAATCCATCCAAGTAGATTATTCTGAACGCATATTTCCTCCTCTTCACTTCTTACTTTATATATGACGATCATCTTGTTCTTGTTGCCGAAAGTTATATTTTGACTTGTTCAGTAAACAGTCTGAACGCGAACCACTTTACTCCTTGTTGAAAAGCGTACCGCAGTATATTCAATTAAATAAATCAAAATGAAAGTTAAAAATATACATCAACCAAGACTATGTTTATAATTTTCCCAGGAATTGTTACAACTCACGGCATTCTTTTGAGTTGTAGCTGACGTTGTTCAACCCAGAAGCAAGTGGCGCGAATGCTGTACGGTCTACCTGTTGAAATCCCGTGCCACATAAAAAACGATAAATTAACACACAAAAGTTTCAAAAAGTGTACGGTGAAACACAAATAGTTGTTATCCCAGTTATTTACAATTTTCCATTTTAACAGTTTCGCTTTCTTTACTATGTTATGTATCCTAATCCACCCCCCCATCCCGTTGTTGTTGTTATTATTGTTGTGGCGTTGACACCATGCTTGTCCGCAAGCCGGTGTTGAGTATGTAATGATATACGGAGTAAATTTGTTTGAATAACTGTTTCAGAACTAGTCCATTGGTGTATCAATACTACAAAGCATCGAATCATAGTATTGATTCAGCAATAGACTGGTTCTGAAAGAGTTGTCCAAACAAATTTACTCAGTGTTACAAATGAGGTTATTGTGACGAAAACATACTTCCTGGGTACAAGTATATGTATGATTAGACAAAACGTTACCGGATACGCATGTCCGACGAGCAGCCAAAGCCGCGAAACCGGTCGTGTGTTACCAGGGAAATTTTGTCCAGTTATTCTTATACTACCAATATATGTATGCTAAGATGAGGTAGCTAGAACCTGTGTTTTGCCTCTTCAAACAGTGTTTTTCTACTGGCTGTAATCAATAATGGGGATTGAGTATGATGGCTAGCTCGTACGTTAGTCAAAATAGACGTTACAAACCTGTTCCCCGAACTTTTCTCAGTACCCCTTCAAGAGTATACTCGGTGGGTCTGTCAGTGGAGCTACGGGGACATGAAAGTGAATTTTGTGTATAACTGCATTTGTCTTCTTATCGGCACACTCACATAGCATTGCATCACTTTGTCTCACTCTAGGGTTTCAATCAGTCAAATTCCTTTTTCCCATGGTTCTTATAAAATATTGTGATAGTAATCCGGAGCAGAGCATAACGGTCCGAGATCAACGGTTTTATGTAGTCAATAAAAAATCAGAGTGCTTTCAGTACTGTTAACTGAGGCAGAGTTCAAAATACTGAGTCCAGTGTGTGCACCCTTCTCATTTCAGAAACTGGGCAAAACAACAGCTGATCAACGTACATTGCTGGCTCAAGTCAGCGGTACTAAGAATACAATCCGATCATTGAACAAAACGGTCCATGCGAGAGAAGGTGTAAGTTGTGCGTGTCTACATGCCATGGTATGTCTCTCTTGGATCGAATTAATCGATTCTTTATCCGTTTCCATTTATCAAAGCAGTTAGTATAAAAGGCTTCGGGGTGATAACATCTCGCTTACTCTTTTCAACCGCTGATGTAAAACTATGTCACGCCTAGGCGAAATCGTGCCAATGATTGCAATGGGGAAATATATGCGTGGAGGGAAGGGGAAATGAGAATTTGCACAAAAGGAACTGCTAAATTCGTGGTAAGTGGACCGTTTGTGTGAATAAATTTTAAACACGAAATATGATCAGGATCACATCGCTTAATTCCAACGAACCCGATCCACAACAGCAGATCGACAGATCAGATTGGGCCAACCGTATGTCTTTTGATGTGTAGTCAGATGCTTCCCATTTGATCAACCTGAATTTTAGTTAGGATAGTTGCCACGGTTTGGTGCAACATCAGTGTGTCCGATCTCTTGGTCATGTGGTTCGATGTATGCTGTGATTATCTCCGGTTCGCTCTTTCAACGTATGTATCAACGCAGCTAGGTATAAACTGATATACCAATTATGAGCAGAACCTTATAGGTGACTTAATGCACGGTGATCTATAAAGTTATCAGCTGGGTGGTGGTGAAGTGAACAGTGGTGCCGCTGCAGATGTCCGATCCACGGTTATGTGGTTCAATCAACGTTGCCCGCGGGGTTCCTCGTGAATTCATGTTTGATTGTTGTCTTTTTTCTCGTTTCCATAGACTACCTACCGAACTTTCTTGGATCCCAAGCAATTCTGTTTATAGATGACACCCAAATCTGAAGCTCAACAACAAAACTGGAGGACTCACTAGAAGTTCACAGCCAAGTGAACGTAACGCATACATGGTCGATTCAGAATTAAATGCGTCAAAATTTTTATTGTATTGTATTTTGTAACTTTTTCAGGCACTGAAGCTTACATTTTAGTTGATGTGAATTCGTGAACAACGGACACCAGGTAAATTTAATCTTTTTGGAAACAGTGACTATATGTTAGTGTTGACCAATAAGGAAAAAGACATATTGATCAGGGGGTGCAACCAAGAGCAAATAGCTAGCCTGTGTGCTTGCGTTTGTTAGTCCAAGCTGGACAGTGAGAAGCTGGAGTCGCACAAGCCGACGAAGTATCAGAAGATGACACGGCAGGCTGTCATCTTATTGCGGACAAAGTATATGATTCCATGAGTAACAACGACGTATGGCGATGTTTGAAAATTCCAAAATATGAAAATTTCAAATGTGACGAAGGGTGTGCAAGTGTAGAGCAGCCGATAAATGGGTGCGAGTTATATCACTATGCCAAATTATTCATTTCCACACGTACTCAAACTTCAACAAATACCGCATATCTCAAATGAGAAAGATGCCTGATGTGGATTTGGCGTGGGTCGCAAGATTAATAATATTATGTTTAACTATGCAACAATGGGACTGGAGGCTGTTGACTCTAGTCTCGTGTTTGACGTGAGCTGGAATCTTTGGCAGACAACAAGTTCTCCATGAAGAGAATTCATCAAGAAGCGACAATGAATGAAGTCCAGTGGGACAAATATGACTTACACCTAAACTGGAATGATACTTTATCAAGCATATAACAAGATGCAAACAAGATTCTTCTGTACACTCACCTCACTCTTCAATAGGATATTATGTTTTTCTCGATGATGCTATATAAACTGATAAATTATTCGATGGGGTACCTAATTTTCGCAAAAATGAAAGCAATCCACGTTTTGGGTAGATAGGTAAGTAGATCGGTTGAATCGGTTTCTCAATTTAATATTATCCTCGTCAGATGTATATATATATATACTTAGTTTAATTAGTAAGATATTCTGTCAAGCCTCTTGAGTTACGCTCGCTGCAGTTAGTAGTATATAATCCACCGACAAAACATCGAATCATTATAATCTTTCATAAATGTACTGATGAAGAAAGGCCTGATCAGATAAATGAACCCGGTGTTTCAAATGAAATATTTATGTCGAAAATATATATTGTTTTGTTGGAAATGTGCTCTACGAGATCATTTCGGCAATAAATAAATATTTATCCTTTCGGTTCTTGATTTTCCGAAGGACCTTATCAAACTGGACGAATTGATTTATAAAGCGCAAATCTTCAGTCAACGCCTATCGCAGCGTATTGCGAAATTGGAATCCGATCCGCTACTGAGCCAAGAGGAACTGAACGTTAAAAATAAACAAATCAATACACTACATAATGAACTAGACTTTCGCATCAGATCGTGCAATACGCTAACATCGATGATTAATCAGTTCATGGTGAGTAGGTATAAGTTGAAACATGTTATGCTCCTTTGACCACCATACAAATTAGCAGCCGGGTTTACAAATCACTGAATCACAGCTCTCAGCGTAGTAACGAGTTACTCGCGTTATATGTGAGTAGTAATTTACTGGCACGTAAAACCAGTTCCCGGTTGCCCATGACCGCTTGAGGAAGCAGAAAAATAGGTTTCATGTTTGGCTGCAAAAAACAAACCAACTGTTCAATACGGCACTCGGTTTGTTTATTCATAACATTAGTGTTTTGCTTCCAAGCAGTCGTACTGATGTCATAATTTTTAATTATCATTCTCCGAATAGCATGAAGAATTAATATGACGCAATAAGTGTGTTATTACTATATATAATAATAACTAAAAATAATTATTGGCATATAATACCAAATAAGAATATGTGCATATTCATGATTATGGATCAATGGATCTATCTCAGTGGCAGCGTTCTCGATGCGCGGTAAGCCTCATTTGAAACAATACGCTCCAACCGCCCATGTGATTCACTCACATGATATTTAATAGTTGACTTCAATCAAAACGAGGCAGTTCAACGATTTGGCGTGTGATGCTCCTCGTGTTCATCGGGGGCTCACATGACTGAACAATGTGATTTGTTCTGGCTACGCTAGTAGACTGATGCAGATCTACACGGCATGAATGAGATATTTCATTGTCATGTGAACCTAACACGTGCACATTAATAACCGAGAAAAATGTGACCGAGTAAAGTTCAGAATTAAGTCAGTCGATTACCACAAGAGCCAAAATTCGCGTATAGATCAGGCTACTTTTTTGAGAGGATAAGCAGCTGATTTCGATACATTTTCAGCTCGACAGTGATTTGATCGATTTCAAAACGGTTTCAAATGACTAAAAAATCTTTAAAATAAAGAGATTAATGCACAGAAGTGAATCTTTCTTAAGTTTATTTACAGCTAGTCCGATCCGGTATGCATACAGTTACAGGAAGATGGCTTTCCTCGTATTCTTATGCCGGTAGATCCTGTTCCCATTTCCCTCTGGTTTACATTGTAATCAGTAATACAATGAAATCCTGGTAGTGGAAAACCAAGTTCCCTCTACTATCGAATTCTGAATACAGATGTGAATAAAATATGTCCCTCGAGTAATTCTGTATCCCTTGATCTTCCGGTTGGTCTCAGTTACTTACTTTTTCTCGTAATTTTTTGATAATCCAGAGCAGGCGACGTATTATGATTATTCATGCACATGGCGCACTAGAGAAGAGTTTAATAGGGATGTTGTCTCTGCGTACCAAACGTCAACATTTACGGCTTATAAAATGATCTCGATTCAACCAATCAAACTGTTAGAAAAGGTTTTCATAGCATCCTTCTCTAAAACGCTTATGTGCAGTCTGCTGTCCGAAAAGGATCAGGAGAACTGAATTTGGTTTTCACAACAAATACAACCTACTGCCAGTAAAATACCAAATTGATTTCACTCTTTTCTGTGTCGGTTTTTTGAAAACCGTTCAAATAATACTTGAGTGACTTCAATTTCCAGCACTTTTAACGTTCTGATGAATCACTTTTGAATGTATTTACTGTTTAACCATGAATTCTGAGAACATAATTCAGGAGCTATTTGACCTGTGAATCATAACTCCTCAGTCTGTCCTTTCTGGATCTTAACAGAACGATAAACGAATTTGTAAAATGCGCTCAGAAAAGTTGCAAGTCGAATTGGATAAGGTGAAGACACAGCTAGATACGGCGCAGTTAACTTTAACCAATACTGCCATGGCCTTACGAAAAGCTGAATCCGCGTGGCGAGAAATGCTGGTTGAATGTAATTTAAACAAACACCAGGTGAGTTTTACGTTCGCTCCTTGAGCGAATCTGTTTCAACGATTGTTTATTGGTGTACTACTCATGAGTAGCACACAATGTTGATTGCAATTAACGTAACTAGTTAAATGATTTGAATTCGCTTCGTAAAATCTGCAGATGATTTCATGGTTGTTGCCGCTTAACACCAAATTTCATTTAGTGAAAATTACAATATGAGTTATATATATATATTATTATTTATATATTATTTTTGCGGATCTATTTTTGACCTTAAATCCTCGGGTGTTTTCCTGTGCCTAAGGTCAGGCGTATGGAAGCCCGGCTCAATCTGTTACGCAATGCGGTCCTGTGTGAAGAAGTGAAGCAATTGCAGTTAGATGCACTGGAACGTGAAGCCGATGTTGAAATGGACAGTAGAAAGAAGAAAATCATAAGTGAAATTCGGATGGCCGAATCACGTCTGGCAGATGCCCGCGCTGAGCTCACAATGCGTTGTAGACGTTTGAATCAAATTCGTGGAAGGTAACGCGCTCATTCACTGACATTTTCAAATGAGAAACAGATAAAGTTACCGATGAATGCAGTGATACAAACTTTTCAGATCTTAATTGGTTATCCGGTTGCGCTCGACTGGCACACAATGAGTTGCAGCGCGAGACATTTTGTGGCGGTGGTCGGCACCTATTTACATTGAAGAAAAACACGGACTTTAAATTTGGTAGTCATAAGTAGCAGGGATTCCCCTATGAAGCGAAAAATGTCGAGGCTAACCTGAGGAATCCGCTCCGTGGAACCGTTTGCTCTCAAGGGGGGGGGGAGAATGGATACAGTATGAGAGATTGTGCACACACGAAGATAAATTGCTATGACCGATGTAATTTTTCCATGATTCCTGTGACATTTTCGGCGAGTGTAATGGCTGAAATAATGCACGAAGCTAACGTTTAATAGCAATTTATAAGAATGCATTTGATCAATAACTGTTTCCCGCTTTCCGGTTTCCAGTTTAAATGTAGCCTCTCTCATACATTTGCTGTTTGTGGCATAAATTTCAGGCACGACTCTGATTCAAATGTTTGCAGTATGTTTTTCGTTTAAATTGCATACCTCATCGACCCGTTTTCCCACCCAACAACCTCTTCTCTGCTTTTATCACTTGCTGAAACTGAAGTCTCGAACTTTGTTTACAGCTTAAGCTCCTTATTCCAAACAAGTAATTCGCGAAGATTTAATTTTGTTGCAAATCGTTAACATTAGGTTGGTCACCAAAGTCTTGCAATGTTTTTCTGATTGTCCATCCCAGAATTATTTATAAGCGTTCGCAAGTTCAACTTCCGTGTTGAGAAAGTTGTTGTAACTATACTAAGTGTATTTTGCAGCGCTACTGCCTGTGAGGTTAGACTTAAATGGTACATTTGCGATTGCTCCTTGTGAAGATAACAATAACGGTTTCAAGCACAAAAGCGCACGAAATAACAAAGCGGCTGCATACTCCACCTGTACTAATCTTCCCTTATGCAGTTAGCCACTACAGGTACCGTGGCTTATGCAGCCGATCCCCGATTCAGTGAACAGTGTAAGTCTTTGTGAGTATGAGGTTTAGTCGGGCTGCTTTTGATCACACAAAAGTGTGTAATAAAAAACATCCGGGCAGGGTTCTGAACATCCACTCTTATTGTTTTTCGAATGATTTTAATCACTTGTGAAACCCATGAATGACCTAAAACGTTCAAGGCAATTTAATTAAGCGTAACCTTTGTTATCCGTTACAAAAGAGGGTGGGGTCGACGAGCTATATTTAGCATTGAACCAAATAGTGTTTTATCTCGGTTTAGACATGTAAGACCCACTGGGCGTGTTCAATTGTGAAGGAGTTTGGGTGATAAAATTAGTCAACAGCGAGACAAACTGTTCGCTCTAAGGGCGTGACCGCTCTCCCGGAGCAGGCTCTAGAGGGGGGTGGAGACCTCGTGATAATGATAATGGAGAAAATATTTTACTTGTATTTCTTACATAAAACCAGTGCAATACAGCTTTAGGAAGGAGAAAATAAATTGCCCACAGGACAAATAAACAATTAAACAGTGGATTGGTTTTACTGATGCCGTTGGTGTGATTCTAAGGGGTGAACCAATGCGAGATTCTGCAAGATTCGTACTTGACCAATATCGGTTGCTGATTGCTTAGATAAGTCTTTCAATTCAACATAATTCAGAAGATAATTACAATCATTATCTAAATACTTTCATTGAGCGATGATTCTCTCATGATTATTTTGTTACAGTGAACATGATCTTAAAAATAAATTTCCAGAGCCGAATGATTCTCCAACTCGTTCACTAAACTATGTTTTTTTCTGCTCCCAAAGATACAATGTCACAGTGACTGCGTTGGCACAGAGCAACGAGGATGCCATGGGTGCCCGGATGCGATATCTGATTGAGGTGAATAATTTTTTAGACCTGTTTGAACTGTAAACACGGAAGAAGTTATCTCTATTTCCATGAGGTAAACTACTTACGAATAGTGCAGAGGATAGATATGATTCATTTGAACTGACTGTCCTTAGGACTTCACCTTCATCGAAAATTATCATTTCATTCCATCTACCATACAACCGAGTTTCTCTCTCCCCAGAACTCATCAGTAGTGCAAATCCACCGTCCAATCCGGGCTTTCTACTCCGGACCAACACCGCGGAAGAAGATGCCATTGCATCAACCAGCTCATATAGGAGCATATCAGAACTGTCGATTCATGCACTATTGATGAGATCTAACGAGATAAGAGCCTCGAGTACAATGCTACCCTAATACACAGTTGAGTGAGTGAACTGAGGTTTGTGCATAAAGATGGACTCGGAAGGACGGTCTGTTCAAATCGAGAATTGTTCATTTATAATGAACCACCAGATTGCTGGAAGTTGTAATGTGGAAATCTGAACATTTCGCACAAGGTAAGGAACTTTTTGGTAAACTGTAGAACATATAGTTCATACAATAATGGAAACATTGTAACATTTGGTAACAGTTTGCGCAACCAACTTCTTGATTTGGTCCCGGTACCTATTTTTCTGTACCATACACATCTAGGGTTTCCAGCCAGAAGAGCAATTCAGAATGAAACAAGCCAAAACTAGCTTAGAACAACGAAGCTCTCTAACCTCATAGTAAGTGAAGCGTATTGAAAAACGTGGATGAACAAACAGATATCACATTTTAGGACATTCAGGAACCTCAACCTGCCGATTATGGTAAACCCCGAGAGGCCCAAAACGAGAAGTATCACACGGCCTACGTGGCCAACTGCACTGCACTACCTTTTCCCATTAATCTTTAGCCAAAACCCGCAATCCTTTAGCCAAAACCTGAAATGCTTTAGCCAAAAATCACGATCTTTTAACCTTGACGTACATTCCTTTAGTCAAAACCCGCAATACTTCAGCCTAGACCCATAGTCCTTTCGCCTCGACGCACAAACTTTAGTCACGCTACAGTAGACAAGTCAGATCAAAAAGTTGGGCATAACAACTAATGTTCGGTTCAACAGGCTCTGCAAGAACGACAAGACTTGAAGCACAAGGGCGATGAACTGGATGCACAAGTACGACGTGCCGAGGAGGAGCTACGAGCGCTGGAGAACACCGTAGTCGTGATGACCTCGCTGAACGAAGTGGCACGAGGACAAATTATCGGGGTAAGTACAATCTAGTGGCTTGGGTTTTGCCCCATTTCTGTAGTCGGGTTTCCGTGAATTAGGTTTATGATAATTTAACTTGATAATGGGAGCCTGCTTGTAGTTCTTGATTCAAGGAGAAAGGTAAATGTCCCCTACTCTGATCTTGACCCTATGCATAGATTAAATATGAATTGTTTAATGGATTTGGTGCCAGTTGAAAATATTGGCTTCTATCCACAGGATGGNTGTAGAGAACAGGCTGGATTCGGTCATAGTTAAAGTTAATAGTGTATATTTTTGATTTAGGGGTTGCATGTTTTTTACATCGGAATGAAAATAACTCAAAATTCTGGATTATTTTTACAAAAGCTCACGTACCTGCCGTAACATTCCATGTAACACATGAAAATCAATTGGGCAAACACTAACAATTCCAGCTTCAGGTGAAGATCCCTAAAAGATTGCCTTCTCAGTCATTCTATGTGAGTATAAATGTGAGACAGGAGAAACAAGATTTCCCATTAACACTTTTACATGAAGCAAGATGTATCCTGGTTCAGGGCTTGGCGGAAGGCGCGGACGGAATCATGCGAATTCGGTGCGTTCATCGTTGGCAAAGCCTAATCTTTCACGCAAAACCACTGATTAGGTGAGCAGACGCAAAGCCAAGCATCAATGGAAATTAAAGAAACAACACTGATAATTGCTTTTTTAACAATGAATAGACAAGGGCTAGAGATCCTGTGAAAATGGCATATGTAACACGAAATTAATTTTCTCCTCCAACAGAAAACGCAAAATATTTCAATAGATAAAGAGAAACAACAACTGGAATCCAAGTTAGTAGAGATACAAAACCAAGTGACCGAACAGCGCAAAGACCGTCGNCGTGGTGAAATTCTGGTAAGTGCTGTTTGGGAACATAAATTTGATGCAATATACTACTTAAGAAGAGGTGATACAAAGTTTACCTCCTTGCTCATCGGTTCATTGCCATTGTGTGATTTATTTGTTCAGACGCAACAGCAGTAGTGTAAATGTAATTTTGAATGCAGAAAGGAGATAAATCCAGAACCGAGTTGCTAACCTGCAGGAATCCGTCAATTAGTTCAATGAAAACTAAAATAGACATTGTACACCGTAGCCTTGTTGAAACTGTTTGCTGCCCTCCACACGTTTTCTCCCACGAATCTGTCTAGTCATCTCTCCCTCAAGTGTCACTCATGCATGTTATCGATCGTCAGACATGCACTTTTCCTTCGTTCGCCCCCCCCCCACCTCTTCCCGTGACCGTTGTCCATGACCCTGATACGATCGGACTCACCCTGCCCTATGATTATCGTATGGAGTTCCTTAATCTTATTCGGATTGGTCCTCTGTCTCACCCATGCTTCGCACTGTCCCATGTGCGCTCTGACGTTATCCACTTATCGCTGGTTCGTTTGACGGAGTGGTGAACTCCCTCGTTTGCACCTTGGTTCTCGATTGGTATTGTTCATTTTGCCGATTTCGGGTATACCTCTCGGAAACGCCACGATTTGAGATGTGTTGTTTATGTAATTGTAACTCTTAATATTTATAGTGCCGCATACTTATTGGCTATTGTTGGAGCCAAACAAACCTCAAGAACACTCGGACTTGGCTTCTGAGGTTGCGCAACACTCAACGTTGACCTGGGCAGGCATTCGGATTTAACAAGCCGCTTCTCCCCCGAAATTGAAATAGTCAAAATCCCCAATCCATTCAAAAACTTTAAAAAGAGGTGCATTACGGCAGTACAAAATCTCGAAAACTTCGATTAATCCAATTTAAACAATTTAGATGCAAAACATTAGTCATTTGGTGACTTTTATTTGGCGATCAGTGTGTCATTCGGATGCGCCATTCGGGTGCGTCGTGTGTCTAGCAGGAAATCAGATTTACACTTTATTCATCATCTGAATCTTGCGCAAATGTGTGATGATTTATCTTTCGTTGATTGTACCGAATGTTTAATGTGCAATGTATATTTCATTTCATTAACGTACACATCCACATGCTCATAGGTTTTTACTTTACTAGGAATTAAGGAAACGACAATCATCTGCTCACTGGGTTTATGCATATGCCTCTTTGCATACTGGGCTTGGTAGTCAGATTGTGATAGTTCCGCCACGAAGGCTGCAAAAATAATAACGACTGCATTGAAAATGTTCCCCCGGTTAGAACAGCAAACTTATCTACCACAGGGTCGTTGTTAATAATTCTGGAATTGTAGATTGCAGTAAACATTTCGCACATTATTACATCAACTATTATTATCCATCAGGTTTGACCTAAAACCATATCACGTGGTACTGCGTATATCAGGTATGGAAAATTTTTATTAGTCCATGCATACAGAGAACAATGGACGGTTATTTCTACCTTGTTGAAGTGCGTAGACGGGACTCGAACCACGAACCCTCGGGTTGAGAGCAGAACCTCAAATCCCTAAGCTTCGCAGTCAACGGAAAACAGCTGAAGAGCATGACTGCGTTAATTATCGATTTTCCTGTATTTCCCATGGACGCCTCCGGATAGGGGCGAGCAAGCTGTTTAGGGCTATTTATCGGTCATCACACACATTTCTATCTCAGATATAGTAAATTAACATGGGAGGAATTCCCGTAATTTTAGGGAGTTATATCCCTATAAGAACACAGTGAACAAACTCTAATGGTAAGGCAAGAATGGAAGAATTTGTTAAACTAAATTGTACTGTAGTTTGAATTGTGAAAAGCATAGTGGTCTCGATGAGATTAAGCCTCACACATGGACGCCACCTGTATTGCTGTACAGCGTCCGCTCTACCAGTTAAGATACGAGGCCACACCAATTGGACAAACTGCCGTGATCATCAGCTTATATATTACGTGGTGGATTCCATATGCCTCTTGAAGTTGGGGTATTTGATTTACATGTGAAAAGATCGCTGCTGCCGGTGTAGCCCTGCAGCTCTACCGCCAGAGCTTGCGCTGCACGAGGTCGTAGACGGCGTCCTGACTGGAAATCGAATCCCACTGCAACTATTGAACTTTTCGCAGTTCCGAAATAAGACTTTAATCTGCCCAGCAACAAGGGAGATATTACCTACTCATAATCTCAGTGTTTATCAAATGATGTTGATTTTCCTCCCTCGATTTTGTTTGTTCTACAGCAATCTATGAAATGCCAAGTGATAATCGCGACAGCCTTAAAATTTGCAAGGTATAACAATTTAGCATAGTGTGCAAAATGATTCACTTTCTGAGTTCTGGTTCTGTATAATGTGCATAGTTTCCAGTAGTTAGTTAAAGCTAAACAATAGAAAGCTACCAGTCGAATTCGGCACTCACTCCGGAACAGACTTTATACGCTGTCATTGTGCACCGATTTATCCACTCCTGACAGAGCTACGAATTACAAATGGAGGAGGTAGACTCAGTGATGAAATTGCTGGAGGAACGATACAGTGTTGCCGCACCGTGTTTGGCTAAATCGATGAGAGCCGCGGAAGAAACTCGGGCGAGGTATGAACGAGTCACCAGGCGGTTGACTCAGCTCAAGGACAGTCTGGACAAGCTTCGATTGATCAATCAAACGGATATTGAGGTAGGTCTGTTTGGATCATAAGAAAAAAACCGTTTTGCGCGTGGCGCTGATATATTCGTGTAGGGAGACACAGTCCCGCATGGAAGGTGTGTATTACCGCTGGATTAAATTGGTTTTGCGGAGGGAAGTTGTAAGTTCAAAGCACAGTTTCCCCATGTTGGTTTTGGTGAGTTCTCCGAGCTGAAAGTGTTGTTCGCAGAAGTTTCGTAGCCAAACTAGGCAACATCATCAGCGTGACTTTGGGAAAGAGCTAGTCCTCAGTGGGATCGGGCTTATATAGTTCTATTTGAAGGTTTCGATTAGCTTTCTGCATCCCTTTAGTCCTATTGGTCAATAGCGTAACGAATTCGAATAGCGAAACGAAAAACAGGTTTGCACTGTGTATCCTGGATCTGGATCTGTATGTTTGCAGACTACATTTTATGTGCTCAGTAATATATGGTCAGAAATAACACAGTCGTAGGGGAAGAATGATTGCGGTCAACATTAGTCACCAAAGCCATGTGTTACAAAATTAGCACCCAGGTGATAACTAAAATAAATAAATAAATGTCCTTTTACTTCCTTCTTTCTCCATGGAATACACAAATGTACAATCAACATTCAAGAAGGAGGGCCGCGGCCATACAAAGGTTGCCTGGATAAGCCATGCATGCTGTTTATACAGTTAGGGATACTATGTTTGAATGACCATGGCCTCGGGGTATTTCAGGAGTCTGGTGTTGTTTGGGTTGTAGAGGATTCTAAACGCGTTGTAAGTAGCAGTGGAGAAAAATCTCGACACAAAAAATATCCATATGATCGATTACTGTTTAACATACACACATATATACACCAAATCTGGCCCTCAAAACCTTCTAAACGTTATTCTGCGCAGCTCGGTGGGAATTATCAGCCAAACTGGATACATTGAGAATCGAATTCTTATGGGATAGATTTCCGCTTCAAGGTTTGACTCATTGAAGACTTTAATTTTCTAAGGATACAAGAAGCATTCTACGAGGAGGCTGAGTCAAAAATAGGCTGACTCCAGAAATAGTTACGGGACGAAGGTGGGATTCGAACTAACGACTTCCGGGTGTTTGCTATAAACACTTTAACCATTCCACCACCAGTGACCCACAATTTGCTCAAAACCTTATCAGAATGTAACTTGGTCGTGTATTGTATGTCAGCTTTTGGGAAATTCACTTCAATTTTCTGTTTTAAACTTGTCATACAGTTCCCCTTCATACATGTGCAGAGCGGGCCCCTTCCAGACAACCAAATAGAAGGCAGTAGATTGACAAAATTTCAATTTTTCCGTGTTTTTAGTAGCTGGCAAAACTACCGTTCAATCTTTCCCTCTTATTGATATGAAGCCATTGTTTCGAAGAAATACTTTATTCATGAAAATCTACTATTAAACTTGTCGTGAAACTTTGATCGATTTAATTATCCTCTAGAACTAATTGCCAACTGTCTTTCCCAGAACTTTGCAATCTGTAGTACTATGGAAGTCTAATCACACTCTACTTACGTTGTACCAGCCGTATGAATAACAAGGAGAAGTTAAATGCGCTGATTCCTATCAATTAACTAGAGATCACAAATCACTGGGTTATGGCTTTCATTCTGGGGAGTTTTGAGACATGCTCTGCAAAGAAATATACACACTTAAAACACCAGCGTTACGGACTGGAAGATAAACATCACCGTCGCCCAATTAGCAAGGAGGCAAAATGACCGCACGTAAGTGTGGGATAGTTTATTCTGTGAGCGCTTGATCGACTGAGGTTTTTAATCTGTTGGTCGATAACACTTGTGTAAACGCGTGTCCATCAATCGATAACATCAGTGACGCAGACATATCATGTAATTTTGAACCCCTGACCTGGATGCCATATACGCGTTTTGCAATTGATGACGACAGCATTCGTTAGCAAAATTAATCCAAAATTTAATCTTCGTTTCACTTGTACAATTATGCCACAGTATTTGACTACCTGCATCTTTATCACCAACACGTGTCTCCTTTTCTCTCTCACAATGAATCGAGTTCGATGTAACCCACAAGAACCACACTAATCTTGGAACGCAAAGCGTGTTCATCTGATCATGAGTGCTCTATGGAAATGCAAAACTCAAGTGGACGTAGTTCGTTCATCCCAAACCGTTTATCGTTTTCCACCGTTATCGTCTGAATCAGTACGCTTCATCCTACTGTGTACGGTTGAACCAATTGAAGTCAGACTGCTTGAACCCCCAATATGCAACCAGAAGCATTTCGTCCATGCATTATCTCTGCCATGGCCAGTCACCAAACAACAAACTGATTCGAGAGTGGCAATTGGAAGAACATCGGTACCAACAGGAGACTTGGGCAATATGATCCACCTCGCACTGGATCCAGCAAAATTAAATGCTCTACGCATATAATTGTAAATGTCCAGTTGATAAATTATCGGAAAACAGCTTGTCTCGTCTGTCGGATTTTATTTTTAAACTTTATCAGTTAGGAAAGCCCTTTGCTGGCTCCCATTTACGCAATTAGCATACCTTTGTTGCTTATTCATCAAGAGAAAAAGCTAAAAGAAAGTGTGACAAGGCCTGAACAACGGTACAGGTAATATTTTACTGTTTGCTTCTTCATGCGGGCAACAAGCTCTGATGGTTCAACAGTCTCTGATCTATTTTCATGCGAGTGTCATTTTTT